GGCGAAGACCCTCTCAGGAGACGCTAACGTGCTCTCTCCACCGCGGAAAGGGCGGGAGGAGACAGCGGGGGGACACTGAGCCAGGCTTTAGCATCTGCCTGTTCCTGATCACCTGCCCTATGATCCCCTGGAAACTACGCGCCCTTCAGAGACCAGGTAGATGTGGGGCCACGGCCAGCTGGGGGTTGAGATCCAGGGGGTGCACGGGGCTGTTTCCGAGCCGGGCCCTGACTTAGAGCCCAGTGCAAGGACAGAGGGCAGGTGGCTCAACCATCCCTACTTCGGCCCCCAGCAATGCATAAGGCAGCCCTGCCGGCTTCCCTAACTTACGCCATTCCGAGCGCGCCAGGGCAGGGACCCGCTTTTTGTTCGGCGTCCTGCTGCATGTCTGGGGCCGGTAGATGCTACAGTAATGTAAATAATATTAATGTGGGTCCTTATGGCAGCTGGGGTGCGGGAACGCCCCTGCCGCGCCCCCTCCTGCTCCTGGGAAGATGGAGCTGCACCCAAGTGGTTAAGGTGATTGGAAGGGTTGGCCTTGAGGCACCGGCTGGCCTGTCCTCATCCCGTGATATTTAGATTTTTGCAGTGAACAGCAGGAGATCTCCCATCCTGTCCATACAGCCAGTTTTCTGCTCCTGTGTCAGGGGGAGCATAGCCAAGCTGGGAAAGACCTGGTGGGACAAGCCCGGCCCACTGCGAGGCAAAGAGCTAGTCGCTCGCTGGAGGGTGCGATGGAGGATGAATTTGTCGCTGCACCTGAATTTGGAGTTGGGGATTTGTTGTCTGGGCAGAGAGCCACATTGCACCAAAGCGCCATGCCCAGGAGGCAGAGCCCACTCCGGCCCTGCCTAGGCCAGAAATCTGGGCAGCTTTCTTCGGTCTTTTAGCAGCTCAAGGAGGCCAGGGAGCTGGTTCCTGTGGGCTAGGGAAAGAGGCACCTGGCCGGGTTATTACCAGGACTGGAGCTCATCCCTCTGCTGGGATCCGATTGTAATTACAGTAATTTTCTAAGCGTGCTCTGCACAATGAGTGTTTAATCAGGGCCTGACTGCCTGCATCTCCCAGCTCTCATCACTCACTGGGAGGGCTCTCAAAGAGACAGGTCCCCCCCCCACCCCCACCCCTTCAGCCGGTTGAACAGCTGTCCTGTAATTGGTAGACATATTTGAGCCTCCTGGCATGCAGCAGGGTGCAGCGATTCTGCTGCAGTGCTGGCCTCTCTCCCCGCTGGCAGGAGTCTGCATGATGCTCTAACGGGGAGGCTGCAGCGCGGCAGGGCCCCAGAGGCTGGGAGAGGTGCAGGGGGTGGGGGAATTGGGCCTGCTGGAGGCAGCCAGGTGAGCTGATGCTTGGCTTGGTAGCTGGTTTCCTTTGAAAAACCACTCACCCTAGCCTCTGCCGCTGGAGGCTGAGAAGACATGGGCCTGGGTCTGCCGGCAGCCCAGAACAGTCACTCTGAGGAAGGTGTGCACGGCCTCATTCAGCTCAGGCCTAAGGGCAACTACTTTACATTTTGGTTCACACTTTCACTGCTGATCCAAGCAGAGCTGGGCCTGTGGGTTGAGCAGGAGTGGCTGTCGCTCCTCCCCTCCCCTGCAGTGGGGTTATGAGAGGGCACCTGCCCCACGGAGCACCTACGGCATGCAGCAGTTCTGATTCCAGCGGTGACACATCCGCTAAGCAGCTGGTGGCAGCAGAAGGCCTAACTCAGCCCTGCCCACAGTGAAGGGTGGGCTCTGGGGGGCAGGGGTTGGCCCTGAACGCTGGGTGCTTCCCACTCGCTGGAGAGCAGGGAGAGAGACCTCTTCTCTTATATTACAAGAGACCTTTGTTGAGGGCAAGGGGGACTTTATCCGCTGTGCACTCCGGGTATCTGCTCTCTGGAGACGGGGGGACGGGAGGCCCTGCTCCCTCCATCTCCAGCTAGGGTGACCAGACAGCCAGTGTGAAAATTGGGACGGGGGTTGGGGGTTAATAGGACCCTATATAAGAAAAAGACCCACAAAACAGGACTGTCCCTATAAACTTGGGACATCTGGTCACCCTATCTCCAGCAGTGGACGGGATGGGAGCCAGCAACGTTCTCAGCGCTCAGTCCCGGGGCTGGTGATTCCTCTGTACAGCAGGGGGTTGGCGTGAGGCAGCAGCAGCTTCCCAGGGGGCAGGTTCAACGCCAGCACCGGAGCAGGCAGGTGGCTTAGCACGGTGGAGGTAGCTGGCTCCGGCCTGTAATTCCGATCAGTCAGTGCCAGGCGCCGGGGGCTCCTCCCTCTCTCAATTTGAGCTGGCTGGGTGGTACATGTGCTACAATTTGTTTGCACAGACTTGAGAGACAGCCAGGCCTCCTTCGGGGAGCTGGAAAGGATGAGCCTGGATTGCTTCCAGGCAGAGGGGCTGGGGTGATGCCAGGCTTTGTGGGGAGTGGGGAGTCATCTCGAGAAGGCCTCAGCCACATGGGCAAGAGAGAGGTTACCTTGAGCCGCTCTGTGTGCCGGTCACATACCTGGCCTCAGCTTGGAGGCAGGCAGCAAGCAGGGACTAGGCTTGGGATCCAGGAAGGAAGCCTTTCGCTCCCGGCACAGCGCCTGCCTGCAGCCCCTCTCAGCTGGCCAGTTCCACGTGAATCCACAGCTGCCCTGGCTGCCCGTCGCTTACTGGGTCTGCGGTGGGCACAGGCCCTGCCTTTACCCACCCCAGCTTCCATGCCACTGGCAGCAGCAGCAAAATTAGTTTCCCTGTTAAAGAGACAGGCTCGTGCCACGAGGAACTCCGACTGGAGCAGAGGGCTAGGAGAGCTGGGGTCTAAATGATCCTCCCGCAGCAGCTGACCAGCATTCAATATATATACAAGCCCTTCCCCGGTGAAAGGGAACAGAACCTGCACCTCCCCGTGATCAGAGCCGCATCTCCCAGCATACCAAGCCGCGTTCTGGAGCAGGACTGGAGCTCAGCTGCTGCTGTGGAAAACATCTCAGTGTTATAATGCCCCCCCTTTGACGCCCCAGCCCCTTTAATCACGGTCGAGCCCCAGTGCTCTCGAGTGAGCCTGACACCTGCACTCAGCCGGAGTCCGTTCTGGTTTGGTCAGGCCCAGCCGCCAGTAGAGGGATTTTGTTCCCACCCTCCTTGGAAAAGTCAACAGATTTTGCATCCGGATTGATGGGTTTTCATGACACTTTTGCAGCACCTCTAGAAATAATTTTTGCTGCCCCTGAGATGCAGCCAGCTCTGGGGGTAGGCACTGTTTAAGCAGCTGCCAGGACTAACCCCCCCCCAGAGAGCTTGCTCAGGTGGCTTTCCCCCTTCCCCAGGGTCATTTTGTAGAGTTTCAGCCAGCGGTTGCCTAGGTTTGTGCCAGACGGTAGGTGTCAAAGGTAGGGGAAGCTGGGGCTCTTAGCTGCAGACCCCAGGGCACCTCTAGCCCCGGAACGTGACCTGTAGCAAGAGGACAGTGGGGAACTGCCTTTCAGTGACCACATGCTAGCAGGGAGGGGAACTGCCCCAGTAAGGCATTTAGGAGACTGTAGTTCAGTGTGTTTATCCAGCAAGCTTGGGAAGCCCGGCCGTGGCAGAGAGGCGTGAGAAGGGAAAACCCTAGGGCAGACTGTGCTCTGGCAGAGGTCTCCAAGCAGGGCAGCCCCATGCCAGAGCCAGCCGCATGCTGGGATTCTGCAAGCCTGGCTTCAGTACCCCCGCGGCTCAGGCTAATGGGGGCTCAGCTCACCCCCGGGTGCAGCCCACGTGCCTCTTGGCCCGTGTCTGCCCTGAGTTCCGCTGTCCCTGCAGGTCAAGCCTCCGCTGAGGGGGCAGAGCAGGGACAGCCCCCCACCTGGCAGGGCTGGCGTTTTGGCTGCAGCGCCAACCCCACCAGCTCCTGGCTGGAAGTTTCTAGATCAGAGCTGCAGGCACAGCTGCACCATGTGGAGCTGTGCTCTCATGAATATTCAGGAGGCAGCCCCAGCCAATCTGCAGAGCAGCTACCCTTAGTGAGCATCTGTCAGGTTTTTTAAATGAACTTCTTTTGACATTTTAGATTTTCCCTCTGTCGGCTTCATTTCCCCCCCGCCCCAACCCCGGCCCTTCAGCCTGTGAGGCGGAGAACACGCCCGTGTGAAGGGGGGGTGGGGAGCGCCCGGGGAAATCGACCACCACCCAACTTGACTTTCACAGCCAGGCCCTGCGACCACCAAATTCTGACAGTCAATGAAACTGAGCGTGGTACGGTGTCATCTACCCACCCGCTCAGAGCGGGCTCTGCTAGTGAATACGGCAGGCGCCGTGAGGGAAACGGACTCCAGCCTTGCTCCGCGTCGCGGGTTGCGTTCCTGGCTGCAGGGTGGCCCTCACCTTCCGCCAGCCCAGCCCGCAGGTCACCCACCCCTGCTGAGCTCTGGGCACAGAATAGCAGAGCCTGGCCACCGCCAGGTGCCCGCTCAGCAGGCAGCCTCTCCGCCGTTCTCTAGGGCCCTGCCGGTGGTCAGCCCCCTGCCGCAGCCCAAGGAAGGAGCGCAAGGACATAACTGGGCCTACGTCCTTGTGTCCCTCCCACCCCAAAGCCACATGCACGTGCCCCAGAAACCAAGCCCCTCTGCTCCCCGGCCACGCCGCTCCATCCCCTTTCAGCAGTACTAAAGCCAGCTCGGGCTGGGTCTCCTGACCAAGCGTCCCACGGAGCCTGAGAGAAGCAGGTTCTCTCACCCTGCAGAGACGGAGGATAATACCGAGGCCCCTTTGTCCGGCCCTGTAGGAGCCTTGAGTGAAAGATGCCCTAGCAGGGATGTATTATTTGGGGAGCCCAGCCTGGAGGAAAAGCCCTTTCGCCCCCCCCCCCCCACACACACAGCTGCAATTGGACACTAATCAGCTGTCACAATCTAGTGCCCAGTGCGACAGACGCAGGGATGGTCTCTGATGGCATCTTACCCTACCCCAAGCCTATTGCTTAAGATACATCAGCCCCATTCTCCGCCAGACGTAAATCACCAGCACCCAGTAGCTCACATGCTTCACATTTATTGCAGGCCAGAGCACCTCAGCTCTGCCTTCTGAGCCAGGACAATGCCAGACGACGGGCTGGTGGAAAGATACAGGGAGCAGCAGAGTAAATGGACCCGATGGGCTGAAAGCAGAGAGGCCCTGGTGGAAGCTGCAGCGTGGGATTGCCCATTCTTTACTAAGGGATTCTTTCTTCTGTTCTGCTCCCTTATGGCTGGCTATAGGGATCACCACCCTTTGCCCTTCCCCTTTGCCCTCTGAGCCGTTAGGCAGGTCTGTGCTAGCCAAAAGGGTTGTTCTCCTGCAAGAAAGCCCAGCTTGAGGGGTGTCCCACACAAAAGGGGAGCACAAACAAAACCACCTTCTGGCCTCATTGTCCCACCACAACACATTCCCCCACCCCTGCTGCAATGGAGGAATCAATCCTGCAATAGAGAGCCCCCAGGGAAAGCTCATTGGCTCATTCCAGCTGCATGCAGCCTGCAGGCCGAGCCGGGCTAGGAGGACCCAGGTGTGGAGGTGGTATCCATACCCAGCGTGTGGGCTTCCGGCTCAGCAGCTGTTTAAATGTGGCTCTCGGATGTGCAAAGGAGCACCGCTCGTGCCTATGTGGCCGTTGGTTTTTCAGAGGGGAATGCTACCAAGACTGAATTCTAGTTCTAAGAACGAGAATTTCCTGGGCATTGCTGGGACAGCTGCCTGATCTGTTGGACAAGGAGGGACAGCAGCTCAGCCCAGGGATCCAGACAACCTCTCTCCTGGAGGATCTCTGCACAGATGAGCATCCGCCTCCATGACCCAGCTCCAAGGGGACGGAGGATCAAGCCAAGATCAAGGGAGCTGGCTTTTGTTTTCAAACAGCCCCCATCCCTAATACACACAGGTCCCCCCACAAGAGCATGACACAGCCCTGGGGAGTAACAAACTTAGGTTCTACTAAGCACTGGTTCCCTTTTCGTACAGCTCAGCTGTGTATTCACCCAGCACCTGCCTCATAAGAGGACCGTCCAGAGGCGGCAGGAAGTGGCCACAAGCTTCTGGGAGTAGAGGGGCTGAAGGTGAGGACCACATGCCATGCAGGGTCCCAATCCTGCACCAATGGGAGCCACTCAGCTGCCCTCCTCAGCTCTCGGCAGAGCAAGAGCCGCTGCTCCCAGACAGGGCGTACAAGATCGTTTGTGCTGCTTATTCCGTCTCCGGCTGCATCGTGGGAGAATCCAGGCTATCCGAGTGGTTGTCTTCCAGGCCAAAGTCGCTCCAGCACGAAGGGGGTTTCAGGCAGCTCCGAACAGGGGGGCTTCCGAGACCAGCGCAGCTACAGAGAGAAGGCACAAGAAAGTCAGGAAGGAAGAGGGGTTCAAGGCAAGATGCACCGCCCCAGCTGTCCAGAGCTACACAAGCACCCTGTCCCGTGTAACAGCAGTGAGCCACTGGCAGAGAAGTTGTGTGAGCACCTTGCTCGTTCCACCCTACCCCCGGCTCCTGTGAGTGCTGGGGCCAAGCTGACAGCAGCATGAGGACCCGAGTGCTCTGAAGCCTGGCCCCCGACCCCAGCAATCCTGGGAGGAGCAGCGGGGGGGCTGGGAAAGTTGCCCTACTCCAGATCCACCTCTGCCCAAGTGCTCCCACGGAGCGGGGAGAGAGCAGCAGGGCGGCTTCCTTTCAGCCACCTGCCCCCATCTGCCTGCAGCCGCTTCTCCAGGCTTCCACGGGGGCCTCTTCCGCAGCTGGCCCAAGGAGGAGCCAGCCAGCCAGCAGCTCCCCTCCTCCAGCTCCGCACGCCCCTGCACCCCTCCTCCGCTTCCAGGCGCCCCATCCACCAAAAACAGCACAGAGCCCTCTGCGAAGAGGGGAGGGGAGGGGAAAGAGATGGGCGAATCCCACGGTGCGGCCAGGACAGGCGTTGCCAGGGAGGGGCTTAGAGCACGGGCAGCTGAGCCGGCGAAGCATCTAGCCTGCCGAGCTGCATGGATACCTACCCGTCAGCCCAGCTCACCGCGCCCATTCCAAACCCTTCGTTAAACCGGGGGGGGCTCTCTTAAAAATGAGTCTTGGGCTGCAGCCCGCCCACACCTCCTCTCCTGCTATTTAAAACCAAGAGTGAGAGGCTTGATATTCCGAGCCAGAAACTGATCCCCCCGGAGGAGCACAGGGGCACAAGGAATCTCAGCTAGGCCTGGACTGAGCCCACCCCAGGGTCTTCCTAACTGGTGGGGGGGACCCAGCACCAATTAAAGAATTTGGTTAATTGGCAAGGGAACACACAAGCAATGCAGCTGGATTCATTTGCCTCCACAGTGGCTTACGGCAGATGTTCTAGGAGCCTAGGCACGATGATCTTGTCATGGCTCTATTCACCTCCCTTCCGGTTTGCCAGGGTGAGAAATGCATCTCCACTCCTCCAGGAACCAGGATTTTGCACAGCTGCTGGTGCATAGGAGCCTCTGTGCTCGGAGGGCAGCGGAATACAAAGTATTCTCAGCACCGCCGTACCCTGGGGACAGGTGCCTTGAGGTCTTGCAAGAGGCCGCACGACAGCGCTTCTCTATTAAATGGTTGCTCAGAGGTGAGGGGGTGGCTCCCCCCACATCACACAGGAGGCTTAGAGAGATTCTACTCTTGGTGCCTGCAGTAGAGGGGCTGAGGGTGAGGACCACAGGCCATGCAGGATCCCAATCCTGCACCAACGACTCCCCCCTAGAGGAGAGGGGCAGCTGGCAGGCTGCAGAAACCGACTCACTGAGTAATGGAAATTGGTACAAATCCTGAGCATGAGACGCTTCTCCTGTTACAAGATTACCACTGGGGCAACGGGTGGGGACGCGCAGGAGCTTAGTCTGGTGGTGTCCTTTCCCCTTCCAGGATCCCTCCCCTCCCAGAGGGTGCTCGGGTCACAGGATCCCTCCCCTCCAGCAAGGAAGGTGGAGGCGACTCCCCCCGGGCAGAGCCACGTCAGCCACAAGGCAGCTTTGCCACTGGAGAATGACCATCATTCCTCACCCGTGCCAGTCTGAGTTGCTCAGGACACTGTCTGGGTTTGCCTTGGGCCTAAACCAGGATGTGCGAGCCCAGCTGTGCAGTAGGGGAAAGGGAAGTGGGTATTAGATGAGTCAGGTGCGGGCTCCGCATTCAACACAGGGAGCATCAGGAAAGCGGCGTGTGCTTGTTTTGGTGCCCAAAGGGGAGCTGAGCCCTTCGGATATGCGGCCCCCATCACTCCAGAGCGCCAAACCTTTGCTCCTGATGAAAGGATGCGCCAGAGGCCCCTGGTGAGCACAGAGCAGCGATGGGACTCTGGACTGCTCCTTCCGGGCAGATGGAGCACGGCGGGGAGAAATCCTCCAAGCAGGCAGTGACGAGTCCTGGGGCGCTCAGGAGCAGATGGGGGCTGGGGATTGTGTGAATTAAAGCCACGTCCCTATTTGGATGTGGTGTGTTCTTTGGGAGGATCATACCAAGCACATTAGACCCCACTTGGTCACAACAGCTGATGCAGTGGCTAAGTTGCGGTAAGGCCCATAGCCACTGCTTTGTCTGGAGAGGGCACAGCCAGGTTCCAACTGTTCTCCAGCTCCAAACATGGAAAGGGGCTTGGTTCTTAGCCTAGTTCCAGCTATCAGTCTCACTGCCGGCAAGCCCCTCAGATGGCTCCCAGTACCTGCCGTGGAGTTCTGCCCTAGCCCCGAGCGCAGGGCGGGTGTCTTCTTCCTGCACCCAGCCGCAGTTAGACATGGCGTAGCGGAGGATGGCGTCCGTGACGGTCAGGGGGCTCTGGCCCTGCATGCACGCCTCGATCTCTGGCACCGACAGCTGGCTCTGCAGGAAGAGATGCAACTGGCTGTCTGACAGGAGGACCACGTTCTGCACCACCCTGGAGAGAGACAGGAAGTGAGGGGACAATGCAGAATGCGGTATAGTCCCCCAGGCCTGCGTACCAGCCACAGGGGCTGGTAGACAGCAAGGGCAGGGGAGGATCCTGCTGAAGAGGATAGTGAGCATTTTCCTGCTCCCCCCCCCAAAAAAAACTAACATTACCCTCTCCCAGCTCAGGCTCTCTAGTGGGAACACTCTTCTCTGACCCCAGACCACCACCACCCTCAAGCCTGGGGGAACGGAGCAGTTAGGCAGTCTTCTTTCCTCCTGGGAAGCAGGGCTTTGGAGCGAAATAGCCCTTGCCCCAACCCATTTTAGGCACCAAGCGAGCCGTGTGGGAGAGCTGCATCCCTTCCACTCACTTCTCCAGGAACTGCTGGAGCCCCTGTCTCCGTTTCTCAATGAACTCATCGGTGCTGCCTGCAAAGAAGGTGGATTTCCCTGGCAGCTCCGGGACAGGCCTGAGGGAACAGAGCAGAGGAAGGAAACGGCTCGGTATCCAGAGACGGAACAAGGTGCCATGGGACGGACCTGGTGGGAGAAGCGGCTCGGAGCCGGCCTTGTGCTCTTGCCGTTTGCACATTTTCACCCACCGCCAACCTTGGGCGATTGTAGAGATCCTGGGCCCAGGAACAGCCAGCATTTCCACAGCTGGAGCTTTAGACGCCCTTCCGTCCCCTGCAAGCGAGAGGTTGCCCAGCGGGGTGAGCGCTTTGGGTGCCGAGCTCAAGGCCTTTGTTTAGGCATCTACTTTGGTGCTGGGCACTCGCTCACGCCACATGACTGGCCCCCGGTCACAGTTACTAGAACCCAGCTCACCTGACTTAGAATCTGTGGGTGCAGCCAACCTTTTGGGCCAGTTTCTAATTCCCCCGTTCTCTTCTGCCTACAGTGCCTTATCCTACGGAGGGTCAGGATACCCAGCACCTCTGTGCTAAGGGGAAGTTGGCATCTGGCATCAGGGAGGCAAAGGAGGAATTTCACACTCACACTAAGCCAGCGTTTTTCTGGAGCTGCTTCCTCAGCCACACGAACTCACGGTACCGTCTGCGCACGCACGAGGTCTTGGCAGTAAAGGCCTTGCTGTTGGTCTGTGAAACGAGACGCGGGAGGAAGGGAAAGATCAGAGGCGGCTCCCTGTAAGATGCCCCAGGGGTGTGGGGTCAGATCGCCCTTCAATGCCAGCTCATTCTTCCCATAAGGTCCTGCTGTCCTGTGCTCCCAGGGGAATGTTCTGATCTGAACCAGAACATGGTATTAAGTTGCAGGCGGAGGGTCCAAGCCAATCTTTTGGCATCAGGAGAAGCAACAGGACTTTACGTGCAAACGAGTTGGGGGACAGCATGGTGTCATGGCCTGAACATGGAGCTGAGAGCCTGGAATGGCTCTAATCATGACCCCAATCATGACCCCAACTCTCTGCTGGAACCTGCTCAGACACCAAGGGGCTGGGGATCATTTAATTCCCTACATCAGGGGCTCTCCACCTTTTCCTTTGTGAGGCCCCGCAACATGCTTTAAAAGCTCCACGGCCCAGCTGTGCCACAACTGGTTTTCTGCATATAAAAGCCAGGGCAGGCGTTAGGGGGCAGCAAGCAGGACAATTGCCCGGAGACCCTCACCACAGGGGGCCCTGCAAAGCTAAGTTGTTCAGGCTTCAGTTTCAGCCCTGGGTAGCAGGGTTCAGGGCCCCAGGCTTCAGCCCCATGTGGCGGGGCTTTGGCTTTCTGCCCTGGGCCCCCGGAAACCTGCTCGTGACCCCCGGATCCCTGGTTGAGAACTACTAATCTAGATAGGGGCCTGCAGAGATGGCTTTCCTCATGGGTAGGAGTCAGAGATGATCTAAAGATCAACTAGTTAAAGCACCGTACAGGGCTAAGCAAGCTCCCCAGACCTGAATCCTGCCGGAGGGGCTGAGTGGACCATGCTGGGATTTGAATTAGTTGGAGTGCAGCGGCCCTGGGGCTCCGATTGGCCAGCACCCTGCACCGTCTCAGACAGGGCTGCAAAGTGGTGCCAGATTGGAATGTGGCATTTTACACCTTTTCACGAGGGAGAGGTGACAGCATGGTGCCGCGTCAGGCAGGCCTGTGCTGCTCAGCTCCATTCCTGTGTCCCCCCCGGAGCCGCTCTGCACTTACATGGAGGAAGATTTTATAATCCACGTAGGAATTCCAGGAGCCTTCGTTCTGGAGCCGAGGGTCCTGAACACGCACCGTGGTCAGCTCCTGAGGGCAGAGAACCTGTTGCCGAACTCCAAGGAGATGTTCACAATGGCCCCATCCCGAACAGCCTGTCCCTGACTTCCTGTCACCCAGCTGTAACCCACAGCTGGTGGCAAGGTCTGCAAGTGGCAGGAACAGGCAAGCGGTGCTGCCTTTGAGAGGCTGGGTACTGACCTCAGCAGCACCAGACTTTGATGGGGAAGTGTCCCAGCCATACTCTGAGGTTCATTCTACCCGGTGATTCCCCCAAACTATAATCCTCCCACCCCATCCTACCCTTAAAGGCCCACACTGCTGCTGCCATGCTAAGCAGACAGCGCCTGCCCTGACCACTCTGACTAATCCCCCCACCTGACCCTGTAAAACACTTTACGTTATCCCCCTGGGTACCAGCTAAGGGCTGCCCACCTCTTCCCCGTATGTGTACCTCCCGCTTTGCTAGCATTAAGGTGCTCACACTAGGGTTCAATCTTTGACTGAATTCAAAGGCTCCATACATCCCCCCAACCTGCCAGCCCCCCAAACATGGAACAGAAAACGGCGGAAACCCGGGAGAGCCTTACTTCTTGCTCTTGATTCTCCAACATCCTACAGCCAGAGCCCAGAGGGAAGCATCTGTCCAGATGAAAACAAACAGACCCTCAGTTAGACGAAGCAGAGATGATCCTAAGATACACGTGTGCCTGGACTCATTACAGGCTCACATGTTCAGTTGAAGGTGATGCCCTCCTTCCCAGTCCTTCTTACTCTCCACACCAGGGTCCCCCAATCTCCCCCCTGCTAGAGATTCTGTACCCCCTCCCCCTACACCAGGGTACCCCATTTTCCCCCTGTTCTGCCCCACAGCTGTGTGCACCCTTCTTCTGCTTCCCCCCATGCCAGGGTCCTCCATTCCTCACCTCCATGTGCCCGTCCCCACCATTGTTACTTCTCTTCTGTCTGGGAGATTAGTCATTCAGGGTGTCAAGGTGCTAAACCCATTGGGAGGACAGGCAGAGCGGAGACAGGGGTGGTGTTCTACTGAAAGGCGGTAATGGGTGCCATCAACTAGTTCTTTGATCTACAGCCCATTTGCAGAAGTCTTGAAGCTGTGCATCTGCTAAAGGGTTGACAAGGGCTCTGTACAGCCCCCAAATCAATATGGTTCCCCCCATGGATGCCTAGAACCATGTGGAATTGATCAGATGCCACGTTCAGAAGTTACCGGAGTACAGACGGAGGCCATCAGATTGAGTGCCCGGCCTCACAAGCTCAGCCAGCAAAGGTGCTGATCTCCTGCAAAGGGAGTTCCCCCACCATAACCCGAGTACTGCATTGGAAAGGCTACAACTCCGGCCAGCTCTACGCTACAGACCTACGTCGGCTTCAGCGCCTCACTCAGGGGGTGTGAAAAACAAACAACCCGAGCGACGTCGTTATACCAACCTAACCCCCGTGTGGACAGCACCGTGGCGACGGGAGTGCTTCTCCCGCCAACGTAGCCACCACCTCTCCAGGAGAGGGATTAACCGCGTCAACAGAAGCTCTCCCATCGGCCGATGAGCGTCTTCACTGAAGCGCTACAGCGGTACGGGAAGACAGGTCCTCGGAGAGGCTATCCTAGCGGCGATGCTCAGCCTTCCCCCTCAGAGAGAGAGCCAGGTTCAGGTCTGAGCGTCCCAGCCCAGCAGGGATCCAGAGGCCATGCTCCCACATGTTGTAAGGAAGCTTGTGTCTGGATAAGCAATAGCACCCACTGTGGCTCAGGAGACCTACAGCTGGCCCATAGCAACCATTCGAAAACCGTTGTTAAGCTCAGTCAACCTGTGGAACTCCTTGCCAGAGGATGTTGTGAAGGCCAAGACCATAACAGGGTTCAAAAAAGAACTAGATAAATCCATGGAGGTCCATCAATGGCTGTTAGGCAGGATGGTCAGGAATGGTGTCCCTAGCCTCTGTTTGCCAGAAGCTGGGAATGAGCGACAGGGGATGGATCACTTGATTATCTGTCCCGTTCATTCCCTCTGGGGCACCTGGCACTGTCCACTGTTGGAAGACAGGATACTGGACTAGATGGACCTTTGGTCTGACCCAGTAGGGTCACTCTTATGTTCTTATGAGAATGTTTTACCTGTGTAGCACCTCTCATCCCAGAGCACTTTCCGATCTCTCTGTGCATGGCGCTACTAAAATGCGGCCAGCTCTGGGGGGGGGCCGGGGGAGAGGAATGGTAGCCAGCTGCTGTACAGCGCAACAGTCACAGAGGTTGTTTTAAGCAAAGGCCCTTTCACAGGAAGGGTGACCCAAGATCTTTGGCCACGCAGGGCAGAGAGGACCCCTGCTTTTAAGGTCTAGTTCAAAGGGCCTGTGTGGACTCTGTTACTCTACCTTGGAAAGGTGGAGGGTTGAATCAGCCTCACTAGATTTTCAACCTGTGCCAAGGAGTGGGTAGGATATTTCCCCTCCAAGATAACTGGTACTTCTGCCAGCCAATCTTCCTTTACAGCTAGGTTACATTTCTAGCCAGAAACAGCCTTTTTTCCTCTGTGTTTGTACTTTGCCTAACACAATGATGTCCCGGGTGCCGCGGTAATACGCAGCATAAGAAATAATTGGTGATCAGACAGGACGTTAGTTCAGTTCTTCAAAAACCAAGAGAGATCAGTCGAAAGAACAGGTAAGTTCCACCCAGTTCTCCATACATTTTTGGCGGTTTCAAGACCAGCCCTGCAGGCAGAGAAATGTAAGCCTGCCCTTTGGATTCATTAGGTCCTGAATGTGTGCGTGCACAAGAGGATGGCTGAAGATGGTCTCAGCTTTTGCTAGACCTCAGAGGAAGTTATCCTCTTAAAACAGCTGCAACTTTCATTCACTCCCCATGCTGGGAACTTGATGGATTTTTGCAGTTCACCATAATAAAATCTCAACCCAGCCTAGCAAACATAAGAACGGCCATACTGGGTCAGACCAAAGGTCCATCCAGCCCAGTATCCTGCCTTCCGACAGTGGCCAGTGCCAGGTGCCCCAGAGGGAATGAACAGAACAGGGAATCATCAAGTGATCCATCCCCTATCGCCGATTCCCAGCTTCTGGCAAACAGAGGTTAGGGACACCATCCCTGCCCATCCTGGCTAATAGCCAATGATGGATCTATTCTCCGTTAATTTATCTAGTTCTTTTTTGAACCCTGTTATAGTCTTGACCTTCACAACATCCTCTGGCAAGCAGTTCCACAGGCTGACACTGCGTTGTGTGGAAAAAATACTTCCTTTTGTTTGTTTTAAACCTGCTGCCTGTTAATGTCATTTGGTGACTCCTAGTTCTTGTGAAAAGAAAAGGAGTACTTGTGGCACCTTAGAGACTAACCAATTTATTTGAGCATGAGCTTTCATGAGCTACAGCTCACTGCATCCGATGAAGTGAGCTGTAGCTCACGAAAGCTCATGCTCAAATAAATTGGTTAGTCTCTAAGGTGCCATAAGTACTCCTTTTCTTTTTGCGAATACAGACTAACACGGCTGCTACTCTGAAACTAGTTCTTGTGATCACATGGATGAGATTGTGGCAAAAAAAGGGGCAAACAGAGATCCCATCTTCTGAAGCTTTACAGCCCCCTTACCCCCAGTTTTCAGTCTTATCACAACTTATTTGCTTCAATATCCTGTTTTGCCAACACCAATGGAACCTGAGGAAGGATTACACTTTAACCTGTGTGGTGGAATCCAAAAAGCCAGCCTCCCAAGTTGTCTTGATAAGCTATACAGTGGAGGCAGTGTCATCTAGTGGTTAGAGCAAGAGACTGCGCCTCTATTTCCAGCTCTTCTGATGCACTGACTCACCTGGAGCAAGCAGCAGAACCCTTGTGCCTCACCTTCCCCCATTTGTAATTATATTCGTCATTTGTGCTGTGGTCGTACACAGGAGCCCATCAGAAACCAGACTCCATGGTGCTGTAAACACAGATAGCAACACCCAGCACAGGGTTAATTAACCTTTGTAAAGTATTTGGTAAGCCCTGAATAAGAGGTGCCAAAGGAGACCCGTGTATTATTAGTCACCTAGCTTTAGCAATTAAGTTACATAGCAGAAATATTAGCACAGTACCGTCATACAAACCACTTCCTTTACTGCATCCCTTCAGTAATTCCAAGTTGTACTGGATGGCATCAGTTGATCTGATGCACCATTAAATGCTTCTGACTTAAGCTGTTTGCAATACCTGTTCTACAACATAATTAGCTTTCACTCTCAATAGTTTGTAGAGAAACAGATACAACAACAAATGGTGGCAATCGTCCAGCCAGTGGGACCCTGCAGATTTCAGAGACAAGGTTCTTAAACCAGTTCAGCTTGCTTTATATATTGCAGACACATCTGGGTCACTCATTGGGGCAGCTGGAGGGCTGAGCCTGCCCAGGGCATCCTGGCTTCACCTCTTCCAGCTTGATTGTTTGTAGACTGTTTTTGAGGGATGGATTTATGGCTTTGTATGCAGTGTTGCTGTAGCCATGTTGCTCCCAGAATATGAGTGAGACAGGGTAGGTGAGGTAATATCTTCTATTGGACCAGTTTCTGTTGGCGAGAGAGACACGAGGTCCAGGAAGTGTACTCAGTGTCACAGCTAAATACAAGGTGGAACAGATTATTTAGCATACTGTAGGAAGTTAGCATATATTTCAAGAGACCATTCAAGGTGAAGTGACCCATTTACACCTCTCCTGTCATAAGGGGGGGAAATCCAGGATACACACTTTAACACCTTCAAGGTGGGTATGGGAATATCTTTTATTGAGCCAACTTCTGTTGGTGAGAGAAAGACACCAAACAAGGACACTCCGCCAGAGAAGTAGATCACATTCTGGAACATGAATGTGATCACTTTTGGGGACTATGTATACCTTCAAGTCAGCGGCGCTGCTATGGTACCCGCATGGCCCCACAGTATGCCAACATTTTTATGGCTGGCTTAGAACAACGCTTCTTCAGCTCTCATCTCCTAACGCCCCTACTCTACTTGCGCTATATTGATGACATCATCATCATCTGAACCCATGGAAAGAAGCCCTTAAGGAATTCCACCATGATTTCAACAATTTCCATCCCACCATCAACCTCAGCTTGGGCCAGTCCACACAAGAGACCCACTTCCTGGACACTACAGTGCTAATAACCGATGGTCACATAACCACCACCCTATACCAGAAACCTACTGACCGCTATGCCTACCTACATGCCTCCAGCTTTCACCCAGACCACACCACATGATCCATTGTCTACAGCCAAGCTCTAAGATACAACTGCATTTGCTCCAACCTCTCAGACAGAGAAACACCTACAAAATCTCTATCAAGCGTTCTTACAACTACAATACCCACCTGCTGAAGTGAAGTAACAGACTGACAGAGCCAGAAGAGTACCCAGAAGTCACCTACTACAGGACAGGCCCAACAAAGAAAGTAACAGAACGCCACTAGCCATCACCTTTAGCCCCCAACTAAAACATCTCCAGTGCATCATCAAGGATCTACAACCTATCCTGAAGGACAGTCCTTCACTCTTACAGACCTTGGGAGACAGACCAGTCCTCGCTTACAGCCCCCCAACCTGAAGCAAATACTCACCAGTAACCACACACCGCACAACAAAAACACTAACCCAGGAACCCAACTCTGTCCACATGTCTATTCAAGGGTCACCATCATAGGACCCAATCAGATCAGCCACGCTATCAGAGGCTTGTTCACCTGCACATCTATCAATGAGATATGTGCCAGCAATGCCCCTCTGCCATGTACATTGGCCAAACCGGACAGTCTCTATGCAAAAGAATAAATGGACACAAATCAGATCTCAAGAATTATAACATTCAAAACCAGTTGGAGAACACTTCAACTTCCCTGGATACTCAATTACAGACCTAAAAGTCGCAATTATTCAACAACAAAAACTTCAAAAACAGACCCCAAAGAGAAACAGCAGAACTGGAATTAATCTAAAAACTGGACACCATTAAATTAGGCTTGAATAAAGACTGGGAGTGGATGAGTGATTACACCAACTAATTTTAGTATTATTTTCTCCCTACTGTTACTCACACCTTCTTGTCAACTGTTTGAAATGGGCCATCCTGATTATCACTACAAACGTTTTTCTTCTGTGGATAACAGCCCACCTTAATCGATTGGTCTCGTTAGAGCTGGTACGGCAACCCCCATTTTTTCATGTTCTCTGTATCTATATCTTCCTACTGCATTTCCCACTACATGCATCTGATGAAGTGGGCTTTAGCCCACGAAAGCTTATGCTGAAATAAATGTGTTAGTCTCTAAGGTGCCACAAGTCCTCCTCGTTCTTTATTTTGGAACGTGCCACTCCAATGCCCTGAACCTGCTTCAATACAGCAATAAAACTCACTCCAACCACACAACCCTATCTGTCACCTACCACTAACACTGGAACCCATACTGGGTATTGTCAAACAATTACAACCTATACTCAATGGGAACCACATCTACAAAAAAAAATCCCTCCTGAACCCCTCTTCTGGCCTTCAAAACAACACCCCAACCTCTCCACAATCATCATCAGAAGCAAGCTCCCCACACACTAGGGCACACCAACTCGAAGCAGCACCAGATCTCACCAGAACAACAGATGCGAAACCTGTAGACATATCTCCACTGTTACAACAATCAACACTCCTCACAACACACCTTGCAAGATCCCTGGATCCCACATATGCCTATCACAACACATGGTACACCGCCTCCAGTGCTAAATACTCCAGCAACAACTAAGTGGGTGAACCGAGAATCACTATGCTTGCGAATCAACTCGCACAGAAAAAAAAAAAAAATCATACATGACTAAAACACTGTCACTTGTGGATGAACACTTTTCACAAAGTGATCACTCCATATCTGACCTCTCAGTCCTCATCCTCAAAGGAAACCTGCACAACACTCTCAAAAGATGAGCCTGGGGGCTTAAATCCATAACTTTGCTAGATACTAAAAATCATGAACTGAATAGCCACTGGATGCTCACTATAACAATCTCTAAAACCCACTCCCCCGCCCCCCTGCTTCTTCCCCCATCCCATGACTGGAGAGGCGTTAGGCCACTTCACTTCACAGCACAGCCATGTCACTAAAAGCTGCGTAGTGTAGCCATAGACTAAGCTGGAAAACTCATCCCTCTCACCAACAGAAGTTGGTCCAATAAAAGATATTCCCTCACCCCCACCCAACTTGCGCTTTGTGTCAGGCTACCCAAGCAGAAAGCTTCCCTCACGCAGGAAAAATCCCCTTCCACCTATTCCTAATTTACCAGGCTCGTTCCACTTAGGTCCCTAAATGAGGGCCAAATTTCCAGAAATGCTCAGCACCTAGATACTACAATGGGAGCTGCTGGGTGTGCAGTAGGTCTGGAAATATGGCCCCAATTTTGAGTGCGGGCCATCGGAACAAACAAGGCACTGCATCCACAGTTCTCCCCCGAGGGAGAGGATGAGAGAAAGAACAGGCCACACACACATGAGAGATGTTAGTCACAGCACTTAATGCAGTAATGGAAGGTGCTCAGACAATAGAACCAGCACCAGATGGCTTATCCCCTATGTTCCCTCCTCCTCCCCAGAGATGTATGGTTAACAGTATTGCACACATAAAGTAGTTTAAAAGCATCAGCCCTGTTCTCATAATCTCATAAGGCCAGAAGGGACCATCATGATCATCTAGTCTGACCTCCTGTTGGCTTAGCTAGGTTAGAAACACACAGAAGGGGAAGAGGAGAATCAAAATGTGCCTAATGGAATGGCACAGAATTGGAAGGAAGAAGAATTCAATTTTCCAGCAACTGAATGGCAGAGAGGACACAGCCTAGCTCATGTGCCCAAATCAGCCAGGAGCCTGAGAAATAAGAGTGAGGGAGGATCAAGACAGATATTTAGGACTCGTCTACATGGGAGGTGATTTCTGATTTACTCCATATGTTGATACTATCTGAATCAGCAATGGATTAAGCTCTGGTTCACAATAAAGCAGTCTTACTCTTATTCTGCAGGGGTTCTCACAACAAATTTTGCCGCTCTGACAATTTTTCCTAAAATACTTAATTAACTTTAGGAAAAACAAATGATATGCACATATACATGTCCAAATCATTGTAATTAATTTAGGAAGGAGTTGGGTTTTTTTTGCAGACTCAATAATACAAATAATGTACAGTTGTCTCTATTCTTTACTGGACCTAAACAGAATAGAAACACAAATAAGGTGCTTTGCACGTTCTTATATTTTTTCTTATTGTTTCTTTTGCTTTTTGGGTGGCTTTTTTTTTTTTTTAGACTTGCTAGCTACTAAGTCTGCTGTGAAAAGTGATATTAACACACACACAAATATCACTCTTCACAGCAATCTTACTCAGCCCTGGCAATCCTAGGGACAAATTGAGCCCTGGATGGGGAGGTGGGTACGGAAGCAGCGGGAGCCGGGAGCCAGGAGCAATGGGGCACTGGGGGGGCAGCGGGGGCCAGAGGTGATGAGAGGGGTGGCGAGCTCGAGGAACAGAGCCCAAAGTCCCGTGGCTGGAGCCTGCAACCCCAGGGCTGAAGCCAACTCCAGCGCCCCGGGAAGGTGGGAAACTCATTGACTGCCTGCTCCTCCAGCTTGTGTGTCTCCAGAGAGGGACCATTGTTTTCTCCCCCCCCCAATAACCACCCAGAAGGCCATGGCTGCAAGAAAAGCCCCTGGTGGCCGCATTTGAGAAACGCTGTTCTGGAGTAGTCACACATGGAGTTAATCAGGAACAGTTAATCTATTTGAAATCAATACCCTACCTTATTCCAGAATAATTCTCAAGACATTAGAAGAGGCAAGAAGGGAGAGAGAGACCTTTCATGTCACTCTGCACAGTGAATCTGGACCTCTCGGAATTGCCTTTGAAGACCTGGTTACTATGAGTTTTAGCCTTTGCATTTCCTCTGATATTCCTTAAGGCCCCCTGCCTAACGGCTTTAAGGAACGTGCTTCTGTCTGGTGCTCCCTTGTACGTTAGAGATCAGGAAATACCCGACAGTGCCTCTGAGGCCCTATGTGCACAATCAGAAGACAATGTTATATTCACAGTGTAGATAGGATCTTAACCCCAGTCTTCATTGGCTGTGGAACAGCACTTTGAACAGTCAGAAACATTGATTTTAAGCATGGATTTATCCCTATTTGGACTCATCTACAACAGATTGCTTAGACCAGGGGTTCTCACAAGAAAATTTTTGGTGGCTTCAGAGTATGGCCACCAACTCTTGCTGGTGGCCACTCTGGCAATTCTTCCTAAAATACTTAACTAACTTTAGAAAAAACAAATAAATATGCACCTATACATGTCCAAATCATTGTAATTTATTTATGTATTTTTTTGGGGCAGACAAAATTATCTACAGTTGTCTCTATTCTTTACTGGACCTAAACAGAATAGAAACACAAATAAGGTGCTTTGCTCTTTTGGTTGATTTTCTTTTTCTTTAGACTTGCTGGCTAGTAAGGCTGCTAAGTGAAAAGTGATATTTGTTATTACTTTTCACAGCAGACTTACTGAGCCCTGGCAAGCTGGGGGACAAATTAAGCCCTGGATGGGGAGATGGGTAGGGAGGCGGGAGGGTGCAATGGCGATTGGGGGTCTATTGGAGGGCTAGAGGAGGCAGGAGGGGTCAGGGCGATGGTGGGGGATGAGCCTGGGGCCAGAGCATGAAGCCCTGTTGCTGGGGGAACGAGCCCACCGCCACACGGCCAGAGCCTGCCATCCACCACCCCAGGGATGAAGCCTGAGTCCCACCCCACCCCCAGGAACGTGGAGAACTCCCACTGATCATCTGCTCCTACAATGTTTGTGGGGCTCCAGAAGGGGGCAGGGACCAGTGCTTTGCCCCCCTGCCCATCACCACCCAGGAGGCTGTGGCCACACAAAAAGCCCCTGGTGGCTGCATTACAAAAACTCTAGCTTACATGCCGCAGAAACCAGTTTTTCCTGCAACTGTGTTTAAAGAGATAGATTCAACCTAAAAATGCTTAAAAACATGCTTTTTAAAAAATCTAGAACCTCTTAAATTAGAAGTGAATTAAAATACCCAATTTGTCACTCTGCTCTTTATTGTTTGGTGGATTTTTCAGGGGGTGGGGGGAGTTAGGAGGCGCATTTGTCACCTTGGACAAGGAAAATAAATGAAATAGGTTTCAGAGTAGCAGCTGTGTTAGTCTGTATTCGCAAAAAGAAAAGGAGGACTTGTGGCACCTTAGAGACTAACCAGTTTATTTGAGCATAAGCTTTCGTGAGCTACAGCTCACTTCATCGGATGCATAGCTTTCAGTTTTGTTTGTAGTCAGTTTCGCTTTAAGGTTCCAAAGGCTGAAAAATTTCGGTCTCCGACACTGCCAATGCATTTTTATATGTTTAAAGGCAACCTCCAAAGAAAGTTGGATTGCAACTTTGAGTCATGTCTCTATTCAAAATTGCACCAGAACACACTTAAATTTATAGAAGCAAAGTTCAAATTGGATTATCTTAACCTGGTTTTTGTAGATTTAGCTTAATTGGATTCCTTGCCATCTTTAATTTGCATGAAACAGAGGTGCCAAATCTTGTGATATTTGGAATTTTTCTTAAAGACCCAGCTCCTGGAGTCACGTGACAGTTTGAGCTTTAATTTTTTGTAAAAGTTCCCAGCCCCCATGGTTGTGGAAAAAATGCTTTAAAATAGGACCCTTACAGAGACAAAAACCAGAAGCCAAATAAAAAACCCAATATTTATTCTCTGAATCTCATAATTTTTAACCTGATCTCATGACTGACTCATGATTTTTAAACAATTGTGGGTGACAATGCTGATTAGGGGTGTCTTCACTAGGTTTAGCTAAGGCAGTATTTAAACTGATTTAAAATTCAAGTAGTGCACCCTTGAATATAGGCTAGGCCTTCGTTTTGTTGTGAAGTATAAAAGAAGTCAGCTCCACGCCCCTGAAAAATTTAAAAGTGACTTATTTTTGCCTTAAAAATAAGGAACACTGGTTTGCCTCTTTTGCTGGAGAAGTTCCTAGATGACTCAAATGTCTCCTTGGGGATGCTCATCCTCTTCTTCCTCATTATTTGACAGGATGTGCTTTCCTCCCAAGTGTTTGTTGAGTAAATGTTTCAAAATCCTTGGGGTTTTTTAACGGTCTGAATAAAAAAGTGACCGCCACCAGCACTCTCTCTTCCTTCACACCGCGTGCAGGTCTTAGCCTCATCTGTCTAGAAATCCACACCAGTAATCTTGGTTACTGGGGTATCAAGACTCCAGTCAGCACAGAGACTTTCAGGTTAAGAGCTAGAGAAGACCTAGATTGCCAGGGAAAATCTTTTGGGTTGGCTTTGCAGGGAAAGAAGGGAACAAATCCAGTTTCATTCCTCCTTGTGCAAGTCATCTTTAGATGAAGCTATTTTGCACAGGATTCTCTTTTAAACTGTGTAGATTTCAAAGACAGACTTTACTCTCCTTTGACTCTCCCTTCCAGTGAAGGAGCCCCAGACTGATCCCTCCACTGCCCACATCCATCTAGACATCCAGGGCCAGAACTTACAGGGCTCTCAACACTTACAGTTGGAACTAGGTTTTCAGAAGAGCTCAGCTCTCGTTTAAGCACCTAAACTAAGGTCCAGGCTTTCAGAAGTGCTAATTGTGATTGACTGACACGCTCACTCTCTCTCTCTCGTCCTAACTGCATTGAAATTGGAGGTTTACCATTGACTTCAGTGGAATTTGAAATCACTTCAGGATTTCACCCACATTTCCAAAAGGTCAGCAACCAACATACTGAGCTCTTTTAGAATCTGTCCTCAGACTTGCCCCATACAAAACCCCGTAACCTATGCTTTAAAAGAAACACCCAAAAGTTACTATAATACTGGCCTTTTCCACATATATTTGCAGTTGATGTGGACGAGAACCAAGAAGGCGGTTTCTATTCTATTATTTCAATGCAACATCCAGGACTCCACTCACCCGGCTATCCTGTTTAGCAGGCTGAAATTTTAGCAGCCCTGGTAGACTTATCTCCTGGCAATGCTATGGGCAGGGAAGTAGCAGGGGCCCATGGAGCGGGTTTCATAGGCAGAGCCAAGCAGTTACTCCCCATGAGTCACAACAGGAGCAATGACAATACGTTGCATTGGTACAGTAACACAGTGTCTCTAACTGGCCTCGTTTCTATTTGTGTGGCTTGGGTTCTATTTATATACGCTGCCTACCCTACGCCCAGAGAGGCCCGTGGGCAGTCTCAGCCCTCAGCTGACCAGCTACGGGGCAGGGTGGGGGCTACATTCCAGGCCAGCTGCAGAATTTGAGAGATGCCCCCGCCCCTTTGGAAAGAGAACAATCCACCCCTCTCCCCCGCCCCTTTGAACATGGCGGTTCCCTCCCCTACCCAATGCCCCCTCTCTTCGGACATGGTTCCCTCCCCATTTCACCCTCTCTTCTCCTTCCCCCCCCCGACATGGTTCCCTCCCCATTTCACCCTCTCTTCTCCTTCCCCCGCCCGCCCGACATGGTTCCCTCCCCATTTCACCCTCTCTTCTCCTTCCCCCCCCCCGACATGGTTCCCTCCCCTCCCCATTTCACCCGCTCTTCTCCTCCCCCCCCCCGACATGGTTCCCTCCCCTCCCCATTTCACCCGCTCTACTCCTCCTCCCCCGACATGGTTCCCTCCCCTCCCCATTTCACCCGCTCTTCTCCTCCCCCCCCCCCGACATGGTTCCCTCCCCTCCCCATTTCACCCGCTCTTCTCCTCCCCCCCCCCGACATGGTTCCCTCCCCTCCCCATTTCACCTGCTCTTCTCCTTCCCCCTCCCCCAACATGGTTCCCTCCCCTCCCCATTTCACCCGCTCTTCTCCTTCCCCCTCCCCCGACATGGTTCCCTCCCTTCCCCATTTCACCCGCTCTTCTCCTTCCCCCTCCCCCGACATGGTTCCCTCCCTTCCCCATTTCACCCTCTCTTCTCCTTCCCCCCCCGACATGGTTCCCTCCCTTCCCCATTTCACCCTCTCTTCTCCTTCCCCCTCCCCCGACATGGTTCCCTCCCTTCCCCATTTCACCCTCTCTTCTCCTTCCCCCTCCCCCGACATGGTTCCCTCCCCTCCCCATTTCACCCTCTCTTCTCCTTCCCCCTCCCCCGACATGGTTCCCTCCCCTCCCCATTTCACCCGCTCTTCTCCTCCCCCCCGACATGGTTCCCTCCCCTCCCCATTTCACCCGCTCTTCTCCTCCCCCCGACATGGTTCCCTCCCCTCCCCATTTCACGCGCTCTTCTCCTCCCCCCCCCGACATGGTTCCCTCCCCTCCCCTCCCCCATTTCACCTGCTCTTCTCCTTCCCCCTCCCCCAACATGGTTCCCTCCCCTCCCCCCATTTCACCCGCTCTTCTCCTTCCCCCTCCCCCGACATGGTTCCCTCCCCTCCCCATTTCACCCGCTCTTCTCCTTCCCCCTCCCCCGACATGGTTCCCTCCCTTCCCCATTTCACCCTCTCTTCTCCTCCCCCCCCCCCGACATGGTTCCCTCCCCTCCCCATTTCACCCTCTCTTCTCCTCCCCCCCCCCGACATGGTTCCCTCCCCTCCCCATTTCACCCTCTCTTCTCCTCCCCCCCCGACATGGTTCCCTCCCCTCCCCATTTCACCCTCTCTTCTCCTCCCCCCCCGACATGGTTCCCTCCCCTCCCCATTTCACCCTCTCTTCTCCCCCCCCCCCCCCATGGTTCCCTCCCCATTGCCCCCTCGCTTCCCCCCCCCCACCTTTGGGTATGGCTCCCTCCCCTCCCCAATGCCTCCTCCCCACCTTGGGCATGGTTCTCCCCCTACCCAATTCCCCCACACACACACACACTTGGGACGTGGCTCCCCCGCCCCCCAACACTCACCCCCACCCTTCGCAGACCGCCCCCTGCGCCGAATCCTCACCTCTTCCCCCAGGACAGCGGTCGCCAGTGCCGGCGCGGCCCCTTTAAGAGCGGAGGGGCTCGGCTCCCATTCCCTTATAGCCGAGCTCCCGGGCTCCTTCCGGTGGAATCCAGGGGCAGGATGGGAGATGTAGTTCTACTCCTAGGCAGGACTCCACCCACCCCACCCTGTAGATAGGCTGGCGAGGAGGAAGGAAGGAAGGAAGGAAGGAAGGAACTAGGATGAAAGTGAGAAAGAATAGAATGAGAAAAGGGAAAGAAAGAAAGAACACAGTGACAGGAGAAAAGAAAGAAAGAGGCTGGTGCAAACAAAAAAGAGGCTAAGAAGACAGTGTGAAGAGGAGGAAGAGAAAGAAAGGAGGGAAGGACAGGGGGAGAGAGATGGGGGGGGGGAAGAGAGCATAGGAGAGACTAGGGTCTGGGTGTGTTGGAAGGTCCTCACCCTGAGGAAGAGGCAGAGTCTGACCTATGCACCTATTTGTGGAGGTCACCTGGTGCCCTGTATATACAACAGCCTCACAAGAGGACAAGGTGGGTGAGGTAAGATCTTTCCGTTGGACCAACATCCGCTGGTAAGAGAGACCAGCTTTGGCGCACATGGAGACAACAGCTATGTCAACGGGAAAAGCTCGCCCATCCACATAGTGCTCTCTTCACAGGGGGTTACAGTCAGGAAAGGAAACCTGAGCAGTACCTTCAAAAGACGTGCCTGGGAGCTGAAATTCATAATTTTGCTAGGGTTCAGAGTAGCAGCCGTGTTAGTCTGTATCCACAAAAAGAACAGGAGTGCTTGTGGCACCTTAGAGACTAACAAATGTGTTAAGAGCATAAGCTTTCGTGGGCTACAGCCCACTTCATCGGATGCATAGAATGGAACATATGGTAAGAAGATAGATAGATACAGATAAGTTGGAAGTTGTCATACAAACTGTGAGAGGCTAATTAGTTAAGATGAGCTATTATCAGCAGGATAAAAAAACTTTTGTAGTGATAATCAAGATGGCCCATTTAGACAGTTGACAAGAAGGTGTGAGGATACTTAACTTTGGGAGTGGCTGGGTCATTATTGAATCTATTTCCCTGTCTCTATTCAAACCCAAATATCTATTCCACCTTGTACCTTCCATTTCCCAGACCTGAAGAAGAGCACTGGGGAGCTTGAAAGCTTGTCTCTTTCACCGTCAGAAGCTATTATCTCCCCCACCTTGTCTCTCTAAAATCCTGGGACCAACATGGCTACAACAACATTGCATATCACAAGAGGACAGCAGCCCTTCAACCTTCCCCACCCCTATGTCCACCTTATAACCTCCTCCTGTTTCACCAAGTCCTTTGCCACTTAGCTGGGTGGGGCTTTTGGACACAGGAGGTGTTGCCAACTCCCATTCTTTTGTCATGATGATTCTCATGCCATTTGATGTTTTTTGGAGTCAAGTGATTAGGTGGGAAGGGAATCTCAGCTTTCATTTAAAACAAAAGTCAATTCCTAGCCCTCCTGACTTCAGAGATAAGCTTAAAAATGTGACCTGGATGAACCCTAAAGGCTCAGGTTTCAGAGTAACAGCCCTGTTAGTCTGTATTCGCAAAAAGAAAAGGAGGACTTGTGGTACCTTAGAGATGAACCAATTTATTTAAGCATAAGCTTTCATGAGCTACAACTCACTTCATTGGATGCATGCCTTTTCTAAAGGCTCAGAAAACAAAACTACAGGGCTTAAAGTGAAGGGAACAAAAAGGAGCTCCCTCTCTTTTCCTTGACTTGGGTAAGCAGTCCTCCTGCACCTCACACATGGTTGGTGCCATGACCACTTTCTTTCCTGTTTCACAAAAAGAAAAGGAGTACTTGTGGCACCTTAGAGACTAACCAATTTATTTGAGCATGAGCTTTCGTGAGCTATAGCTCACTTCATTTGCTTTAACCAATAAAAACAATCCACTGAGAGAAGCAAAGTGTTGAAGACCGGATGCTCCAGGCATGTTTGAGTCAGACCCTGTAACAGGAGCCTCTAAAGCTGTAGCTCACGAAAGCTTATGCTCAAATATATTGGTTAGTCTCTAAGGTGCCACAAGTACTCCTTTTCTTTTTGCGAATACAGACTAACACGGCTGTTACTCTGAAATCTAGTGAGTCCGTATCCCTGCCACCTGACAGTGCTATTAAGCTTTGGTAAACCTGACGCATTTCACTGAGTTCTGGAAATACAGATCAGTCCCATACATGCAGGTAGGTCCCAGGCCTTTCTGGACATGCATGGTATCACCATGCCCCATTGTGTCTCTCCTACAAAGTGTATCTCAAAGATCTCTCCAGAGTTAAATAATGCAATGGCAGGGGAATACATTGGCATTGAAGCTCCTGGGGCATTTTTTGCCCAGGTAACAGTGGCTGTTGGGTGTCATAGGGTGTTGTATCAGTGTATTGTTTTCCACATTGTAAGGAGAGTGATCACTTTATTACCAGCAGGAGAGTGGAGTGGGAGGAGGTATTTTTTCATGCTTTGTGTGTATATAATAAGATCTTCTACACTTTCCACAGTATGCATCCGATGAAGTGAGCTGTAGCTCACGAAAGCTCACGCTCAAATAAATTGGTTCGTCTCTAAGGTGCCACAAGTCCTCCTTTTCTTTTTGTTTTCCACTGTTTTATAGTGAATAGTGTGTTGGGTTATGGTTGTGCTGTATTACATTGCATTGTATGGTTTTGTGGTGTATTGTCATTGTGTAACGTGCTATGCGTACTCTGCAGTACAGAAGCACTATTGTGTAGCGCAGGGTGTTGTATTACAGTGTAGCACGCTGTATTGTAGCATATTAGTCGGTGTGACATCACACGCTCAATGTGTTCTCATTATATAGAGCGTGGTGCAGTTTTACATCTTACTGACCTGTGGTGTGCTGTAGTCGTATTGGCCACCTCAAGCTTTCCAAAATCATGAGTCAGGCCCCTAAAACTCATGTGATTAGCTTTAAAACAAAAACAAAACAAAAATTAAAAATAAAAAATAAATTAATAAATGCCATGGTCTTTTTTTGTTTGCATTCTGGTTTGAGTCTTTGGGGGCTTTTTAGTATAAAGAAGGTTGGTTGAGAACTTCTATTTCCCTGTCTCGTAATACAAGAACAAGGGGGCATTCAATTAAACTAAAAGGTGGGAAATTCAAAACCAATGAAAGGAAATTCTTTTTCAACCAAGCGTGATAAAAATGTGAAACTTGTTACCACAGAAAGATACTGAGGCCAAAAATGTAACTAGATATAAAAAGAGACTGGATGTTTAAATAGGTGTCAAGGATATGCAGTGTCATAATTAATTACAATACAGTTTTTGAAGGGATATTAAACCTTATGCTTCAGCTAAATCAATCTCTAACTATTAGAGATCAGGATGAGATCTATGTAAGAGGAAGACAGTCCCATAACTGCCTGCTGGACTATTCTTACACCTTTCTCTGAAGCATCTTGTACCAGCCACTGTCAGAGACAGGATGTGGGCTAAATAGGCCTTGAGTCTGATCCACTCTGGAGATTCCTGTGTTCTTACGGGGTCATGTTTTTGCACTATTCTTCCTAACCATGAAGGTAGAAATTTCCTTTCTGAATTAAATCTGATTCTCCCCTAATCACCTGCCTCCTGGAGCTAGAGCTTTAAGAAAATCTCATGACCTCTACTAGTTAAGAGTTTGGCTTGAATCCTGAAATGTTCCTTTGAAGGTTTTTGTGGTCATTAATTTTGACCCCATGCTATTTAAAAAGGGAAGAGTTGGCAACACAGTGTGCGCTGCGGGCGGGCTCTTGTGCTGCACTGCCTCGCTCGGGTCACGTTGGTTGTGCAAGGTGAGCAAGGGGGTGTTGTAGTCCCAAGGCTTGTCCAAGCCCCGCCCCGGACTACCACACCCAGCAGGCAGCGCGGCGAAAGGTTCGCCGCAGAGCCTGCTGGGAGCTGTAGTCCACGGGGAACTTCACGTCCCATCGTGCCGCGGGAGGCGGGGGGTCGCCGCGCAGGCGCGATGCGCTCGGCGGGTACAGGGGGTTGCTGGGCTCTTTTGTTTGGCGGAGGGCGGATCGCGAGCGGCCAGGCCTGTGGCGCGGCGCCGACGGTTACGGTTCCTCGCCGACCTCCACCGCCTCAGCTCGGCCCGGCCGCCGCAGCGCGCAGCCTCCGCCCCCACGGCTCCCTTTCCCCCCGGGCATCGTTGGCGAGGCTGTGAAAAGTGAGCGGGGGCCCCGCGGGGGGGCGGGGACGGAGCCGCGCCGCGCGGGGGGGGCTGGGTTGAGGGGAGCCGCGCGGGGGGGTTGCGCGCGCGGACGGGACGAGCTGCAGGGGCTGGGGGCGCGCGCTGGGGCTGGTGGGGGAGGGGGAGCTGCAGGAGGCGCGCGCGCGCGCTGGGACGGGAGCGGGGGGGGCTGGGGTGGAGGTAGGGAGGGGGAGCCAGGGGGTGTGTTGAGACTGGGGGGGGGGGAAGCCAGGGGGTGTCCTGAGAGTTGTGGTGAGGGGAAACCGGGTGGGGGGGATGCAGGGGGGGTGCTAGGACTGGGAGGGGAAGGGGAAGAAGCCAGGGGAGCGCCATGAGATGGGGGGGGCAGTTGCAGGGGAGATTGTTGTGGAACTAGGATTAAACGAGGGTATGAAGCTGCTGGGGGGGGGGGTTGGTGGGGAGCTGGATTTGGGTGGGGAGGGGGAGCTGCAGGGGGTCCTTTTGTAGCTGGGGTTGGGAGGGGGAAGGAGAGTTGCGTTCGTGGTCTGCGGGGGAGCTGGGATTTGGGAGGGGGAGCTGCATGGGGAGGGTAATGGGGAATCTGGGACTTGGTGGCGGGGGAGATGCGTGGAAACATTATAGAGCTAGGATTAGATGGGGGTGTGATGAGCTTCAAGGGGAGACCATGGGGAGCTGGGATTGGCTGGGGAGGGAGAGCTACATCAGAGGTCTTTGGGGAGGTGGGGTTGTGGGGCTTGGAGGGGTGACGGGGGCGTGGCTGCACCTGGGGTCATGGGGGGGTGAGGATGTGTGCATGGGGGAAGATGGAGCGTCACAGAAGGGGGGACCCGGTCGGCAGCCTAGCGGTGGAGCTGCACCTGGGTGGGAGTTGTGTGGCTATAACGGAGCAGTAGGAGCTGTGGGAAAGGGTGTAAGATCCAGCTGCACCATGACCTCTCCAGAAGCTAGTTGTGGCAAAAGAGCTTCTACCCCAGGGAGGTCCTAGGGAATGGGGGGGAGATAGAGCTGCACCAAGGGCTGTCTGATGGGGATGGTGGATATGGAACTTTTGGGGGGACAGAACAGAGCAGTAGTGGAAATGGGTCTTGAGGAAGGGACACGTGGAGATGGAGCTGCACTGAAGAGACAGGATGAGGGCACCGATCATGAAGCTGCGTTCATAATGGGAACAATGGGGCGTGTAGAGCAGGAGCTGCACCCAAGAGGGGGACCAGGGTAAGGGGAGATGAAGCTGCACTGGGGGAGGTGAGGATGGGGCAGAGACCTGGTGTGGACCCCTGTTCATCTCGAGAGTGCCAGGGTTGGGGTGATAGTAAAACTGAAGAAGGGGAGAGAATGAAACTATGGAGTTGCACCAGGAGTATTGGGGATATTTGAAGAGGCGATGCTGGAGTTGCACTAGTGTGCCTGGTGAAGAGGAAGGTGTGGATGGAGCTGCACCAGGAGTATTGGGGATATTTGAAGAGGCGATGCTGGAGTTGCACTAGTGTGCCTGGTGAAGAGGAAGGCGTGGATGGAGCTGCACCAGGGTGACCTAGGGAAGCACTGAGATTTGTGCAGAATTGGAGCTGCTCCAAAAGATCTTGTGTGAGTTAAAGGGGGGAGGGGAGAGGAGAGACTGGAGCTGATCCGAAAACTGGAGCTTGGTGAAGCTGTACCAAGGGTGTCAGTTGGGGAGGTGAGAGCTATCCTGGGGGCCTGGAGATGGTGGAATTGTGCTGGGAGTGTTGAGGACAGTGGAGCTGCAGATGAGAGGCATGTGTCCTGTGACCACAAAATCCAGTGGGTAAGATAAAGAGACTGCTAGGTTGTTCAGGTTCTAAATGTAAGTTTTATTAATTAAAATAAAAATAGTTTTAAAAAACATAACTAACTTAGAAAGATTCTACGAATCTTGGATTTGTTTGGATTAAAGAGCCCCTGCCCAGGTTTGCAAACCAAACATCACAGCCTTGTGTTAGTGCTAGAGAGCTGTGCAGTGAAACTGACTAGAAACTGACAAGACAGTCTAGTGTTTCACTGTCCTCCCAAAATGAAATGCAAGAATAACTAGCAGAGATTGCAAGTGAATAAAGGCAGTAACCAGTCTCAGTTTTCATGTGCTAGTAACACAGGCAAAAGGAGCGTGTGTGCTGAAAAAAGATTTCTATCCCAACACTGCCTTTCTGTGTCCTGAAAGCACTAGTGTTGATTGGAAAAAGTTGAGTAAAAAGGTATATGTTTATGGGAAGGGAGGTTTGCATTGTCCTGCAGGCACTAGGCAGTTGGGAATCTTATGCCATTTTGAGCAGCATCGTCCCATGATGACTTCTTTTAGATGTCTCCACATGCTAAATCTGTCTTTACTAAAAATGAGTAATCAAGTCTGTGCCCTGCCTCTGGTAGCATTTCCCTGATTAGAGGAGAGAGTGTAAAAATACTTCTGTCTTCTCTCTGCTTCCTCCTCATGCAGATAGAACCTAGAAAGCCCAGCCACGCAGACAAGACTTTTCCTTAATCTCTTGTTCCCTTGCGCAGATTTCTGTAACTTCAGAGGTACGCTTCCCATGTGAGTTGTGAATGTAGTCCTAGCTGAGAGTGACAGGCCATGCTCAGTCACTTATAGCTCTCCCAAATTCTCCATCGAGCTTTCATCTTGCTTCATCTCAGCTCAGGCTAATATTTCTGGAAAGTCTGAGTGAAAGTTTCTCAGTTGTGCTCAGGTTTGGAGGGTGGAAAACTTAATACACTTGTTCCCACTTAAAAGAAATACGCATGCTGTCTTTTCCTGGCAAATGCTGAATAAACTTGGCATGTTCATAGACCTCAAAGAGGGGTGTGATCCTAACCAAATTTGGGAAGGGGAATTGGGGGAAATATTTTAAGTTACAGAGCATCAAAGTTGCACTTAACTCTTAATTCTCTGAGTCAGTAGAGTTAGACTGAGTGTATTCAAAGGAAATAGATCTCTGGGTCCTCGTGTTATGCTGGCTTAGCCTTCTATCTTAAAGCTATTGAAGTCTTTACAAATGCATCTGACATACTAGAAGGACACTATGTAGAACTTACCTTCCTCTAAAGACCGCACATTTTGCAGCTAAAGAGGTTGATGCTCCATTCAGCACTTTTGTTTGCTTTTTCTCGGGCTTGTTTTATAATTCTCTCACTACCTGGATGCTGCTCTGCAGAAGGCCATGCAGTAACGTGTGTTCTCTGCAGTGTTGCCAGATTCTGGCTCTTACCCCTCTGTCTGCTATTCTTGTCGCAATAAAGGAGGCTTTTGTATATACTTTGTGCTGGGCCTCTTTCCTTGTTGCCTTTTACTGGAGTTTGAATTCTTTTCAAGTGGTTTAATGTGTCTTGGATTTTCCCTTTAACTGCTGACATGAAGCTCTTCTCTCTCTTTCCAATGTTCTGCTTTATCCTTTATAAAGAATTCCACCTTATTCCAAATGCTGGTGTTTAAGATGGTCCAGTGAGGGAATTGTTAGCATTTAAGTCCTTTTTGGTCTTGGGTCAGAAAATATCTTTAATGCAAAGTTGGCTGTTTTCCAGACAATAAGCAAAAGAGAACTGAAAGTGAATATTAGGAAGAACATCCTAAATGTGAGGTCTGCTTAGAGTGGAATAGCCTAGCAATCAGCCTGGTCAGATGGGACCAATTTCCCCAGAAAAATGGGGGGGGAATATCTTGTACTGGCCATGGGGATGGGAAAAGTGACCTGGTATCTCTTCCAACTGTAACTTTGTGTGAATGAACATCATGCTGATGAAATCTGTTTGCTTGATGACCTGGGAGATCAAAGAACCCTTAATTGGTGCATCACTCCTGACATGTAGGGGTGAAAATGGCTCAGTCTCAGTGTCCATTCATTCCTCTCTGCTGAGACTGCCTATAAGGAAGCCAATTAGCACTTCTTGTGTCTGGTGCTGTGGTAACTTGTTTTCTGGTGCTGTGGACACTTGTTGGTTCATTAATTTCTGTGACTGCTGACATACTCTAGGAGTCACCAAAGGCTCTGTGCCATTAAGGTCAGAATCTCATTGGAAACAGCACAGCTTCTCAACAGCACTCCTTACTTTAGAGCTGGTCTACAGTAGAAAATTAGGTTGGCATAATTGTGTTGCTCAGGGGTGTGAGAAATCCACACCCCTGGGCGGCATGGTTAAACTGACCTGAGCCCCCATGTAGACAGCACTAGGTCGATGAAAGAATTCTTCCATTAATCTAACTACCGTCCCTTGGGGAGATGGATTACCTTTGCTGATGGGAGAACATGCCACTGTAGCATTTTAAATTTAGACAAGCCCTTTGTTTGATTACTCTTTGGGTAGTGCATGCTCGGAGTTTGTACCATCACTGGGGTCTTCAGTCTCTCCTCTCTCAAACTTCAGCAGGGTCCGTCATTTTATTACAGCAAAAAACACTGATTTATTCATCTTTCAGAGTAGGAAGGACAATATATGCAGAGTGTGTAAGAACAGATTGGAACTGGAAGCTGTAGCCAGGCCATGTATCTGCCCAGAGCATCCTACTGGATGCAGGCTGTTGAGCGCAACTCTGGCAAAGCCAGATGCAGTTTCTAGCGTAGGAACTATTCCAAAAGGAACAGCCTCTCCGCATGCCACCCAGAACAGACCCTGCATGTGAATGTCAGGGTTTGCCCTTGACACAAACCTCTTTGGAGCAAAGGGAGGTAAGGGGGCCTTTAACGGGATGGAGCATTCTCTCTCTGTGTGGCACAAACTTCATCATTTGAAAGCTGAATTTTTAGGCTCTAATCTCCGTGAGTTAGTTTCAAGTTTACCAAAACCAGTCCGAGAACCACAAAGATCTAATAAATGCACGCTCTAATGTGAGAACCTACTCACTGCATGGATTTAAAAAAATAAAATCTTGCGGATAATCTGAATCCTCATAATTTGAAACAGGCAAGTATTTCTCTCCTGATAGCAGCTGGCATCAGAGGAACAGACCCAAGACAGTTCAAATCTCTAACAAGGGTACATGAGAG